TATATATTTTATATATATATATATACACATTGGTGCCACCCCTCACCCTCTTCACTAAATTATATTACCAAGTCATGAAGGCCACTGATTCTGAGATACTAAAGACGCCAGTTGCGCCTCCATACTGGCTGATGCGACTCCTGAGGCTGTGCATTAAATTCAATACTCTTATTTGTTTTGCGCCGACTTACTGCACTGGTGGTGCCATCTGTGTCTGTTAGCCTCTGGTGCAGATCAAACCAGACTGTCTGGAGGGGGAAGCACAAACACAACAGCACCAGGTCAGTTAGCAAAACTGGACAGCAACTAAGAAAGAGCTTGGAACATACATGGCCACTTAGAGTAGTGAATGGTAAACAGAGAAGAGAGGAGGAGGTAGAGGTGTGTTTGGGGTTTTTTGTTTTTAATATTCAACGGTGGCTATCAGTGGGATCTAGAAGGAGATGGATGGTGTATGCCAATAAGAATCACACTGTGAAAGACAATAAGCTTTGAAAATTGTCTCCACTTTGCAGTGAACAGCAACTACCACGCCAGGGGGAGACTTCATCCAACATTGAATGTGTCTCTTGGATTTCAGACCGTTTCTCCCATGCCAACACTTAAGGCCACTGTAGTTGGCCTTGAGCAAAATTCTGAACTCAAACTTAATTCATACGTTGTGTCGTATTGTGTGAATGATTTCTTCCATCATGAATGGGTGAAAACGTTTTTTATAAGTTGTTGTAGCTGTTCACCAACCTGTTCCAAACGTGGCCGTTGTTCCAGTGTATTGTAAGAATTCTTATTATTTACCACGTTTTAACCTATTGCTGCTCAGTGTTACAAAGGGAAAGACCTCTCAGTATGATGAGGTGTGTCGCAGATTACAACCACAATAATAAACGATAACTGTAAAATGCAAACCTTTCTGACAGTATCAAAATGTACCGTATTGGCCCGAATATAAGACGGCCCTGATTATAAAACGAGCCCCTCTTTTTCAAGACTCAAGTTTGAAAAGACTTTTTGAACACCAAATTAATTTTTATCCAGAAAATAATTACAGTACATCTGAAAAAAATGATTATAACAATATATTTGAGAGAAAAAGCATGTTATTTTGCCTCATTCAAATCTTAATATCTGAACATTTACTGTAAATATGTAAACTAAAGTGCAATCACATTTGTAAATGAATGGCTTCTGGTTTTTGAAATGTAAATTACATCATAACTTCTCCTCAGTTGCCGGTTAACCTGGCCGATCTTCGACCCACTTTTCTCCAGATTGTCACTACGTTTCTCCATTTTCTGTTGTCTCTTCTATTATTTTCTTCTCTTTTCTTTCTTACCGCTATTTTTTATTTTTCTTCTTCGTGCTACCGCTATTTTTATTTTTATTCTTCGTGGTAGGGGTTCACTTTGGCCTGGGGAGTCAAGTTCAGCATTCGCTTCAATGATATCTGATATTTAGCGTCGTGAATGGGTATAACATCTAGACCCCGAATATAAGACGACCCACACTTTTTCAGTCTTATTTCAATGCAAAAAACACAGTCTTATATTCGGGCCAATACGGTATTATGGTCATATAGCTCTGGAATATCCATGTGCGTCCACATTCTACCAAAGGAAGTATCCAGTGGCTTTACAGTGATAATGTCGCTCTTATATCTCCACTGGAGTACCATGATTACCATCGACTCAGACAATTTGGAAGTCACGTAAACTCAGTATAGTCAGTCGCATGAAGCAATGAAGGTGCCTTCCAATTGAGTGACTGTTAAATGTGATTGGTCCAGTGAATAAATTATGGCAGCAGTGCTCACTTAGGTGCTAACAGCAGGGGATGCCTCTGAGGTTTGGCTAAGTGGGTAGGTGTGCGTCTCTCGCACACACCTGCAGAGCTGATAATTGACTACGAGAAGGTGATATCACACTCGGATCAGAGTTGGACTCGAATTGAAGACACTACATGTCAACTTTTGTGTAATGCATCACTTCCTTTTCATTTCACTCATCTCATATTACAAACCCCACATCGGTTCCTTGCTTCCTGATGGAGCTGAAGCAACGAAGGTGAAGTTAGAACATTTTTTTTTCGACACACAGAAAGTTCATCCCAGTGGGAGATATCTCCTGTACTGCGGCAACAAGGGGGCTCTTGAGGCCTAATTACCTGTAAATTTACCGCACATGTGCCTGAGGTTATGACTCTTCAAATATGATGTATAGCATATAAGTGGCACGGTGAATATTTGCAGTCATTTTCCCTAGTATGTTAAATTAAATGAGCAAGTAAGCTTTGGTAGTAACACAGTGAAATGGATACATTTACTGGCATTGGATATCAATGGCTAACAACTGCCCGCAATGTGACCCGATACAAACCATTAGAATACAGATTTGATTAGCTATTGAGTTGGCGTCACAAGATACAGAGTACATAGCTTGTACACTTAAATACTTTCTCTTGCAGGTGAAAGGTATTATAGCTCAAAAGAGAAAGGGATTGAGTTCGAACAAAAGTCAGTTCAGTGAAATAAAGGCAACAGTTGTGTCTGAGGCACCACACATCATGTTCTGCTACCCATGTACGTATTTTGTAAACATTTCATCATTCACCTCTTGTCTACCTTGTGATGATATTCCTTTTGCAATCGTAATACGGCAATCCAAAGAGGTAATACCAGGCCAAAACAATATAAAGGAATATTTAAACACCTAGGAAAAGCTGCTTTTTTTTGCCATGACAAAAGCAGATATAATGTGAGGCCCTGTGAAAATTGTAATCCAACACAAAATGTCAATTTAATTTCTTCTCGAGTATACACACATTCATTGAAGCACCCTCCTTCCTCCTCCGCATTCCCCGTCTTCCTTGGAATGACCAATTTAGAAGTACTTAGAATTCTGTTTGAGACGCTACAAAGACAATCCATCAACCTTGCAAAACCTCTAAAGTGAAAAACTATCAGAAGATACAATGCCCTCTTTTACAAAGGTTGATTTAAAGTACAGCAATTGTTTTTTCCAATTAAGAGATGATTTATAAATGGGCTATAAATGTTTGTCCTGCAATGTAATCATCTATCCATCCATTTTCTACACAGTCTGCTCATCCTGTTGAGGGTCACAGGGAGCTCAAGGATATACCAGATGATTTAGAGCCAAAGGCAAACTACCGGTACACTCTGGACCAGTCGTCAAGTAAATCCTACAGCATTTATACAGTGTCCGAAATTATTAGGCATAAACCGTTTTTTCTTCCTTTTTTGTAAATACTGTCATCGACACAATTTATACTGCATGATCCTTTTAAAATAATCGACTATTATCCGACAATAGATCACAAAATAAGATATGATTTTTTAAAATCAAATCTAGCCGTAAAAACTGTAGTCATTTTTTTTTTAAATTTTATTTTGGAAATTATTCATGGCATAATATTAACATTATTATGCATTACCTACTCCCTGAGGTATCACCTTATCGTGATGGAAGCATTTGTGTGTCCCAAAGGTCCCAGCAGCTCACCGTTACGCCCCTGGTAGTGAAATGGTGGAAAACAGTTTTTGGGTGAGGGACCAGAGGAGGCATGGATCGAATGAACAGCCATGTCGAATAAAATTATTGGACATCATATTCCCGAAATATTCCAACCCCAAAATTATCTTTACTGGTGTAATGACAAATTAACATTGTGGCCCGTCTTTGATATCAGCTCAGCATTTTTTAGCGTTTTTGCTTGGAACTCATTTGAGGATGGAAGAATTACCGTCCAGAGTTACTCTTGGGAGGTACAGTCTTCTGTCATGCACTCTTTAAGACCTTTAAAGAATGCCCCGGCAGGTTTTCAATGAGTTTGACCTTGAGTTTTTCTCCCATCATACCCAGAGCAGATAAAACTTCAAAGTTTCATTGTGTTGTCTTGCAAGATAATGGCCGAGAAAACCTTTTGAAGAATGCAACGGTTTTGGGGACTCCAGTAAGATGACTCCATGTACGCGTAGACCAGGGGTCGGGAACCTTTTTGACTAAGAGAGCCATAAAAGCAAAATGTGAGAGCCATATATATATATATATATATACTGTATTTTAAAAGTGATTTCAACAAAATGTCAGTATAATAAGCCTCTGGATGTATTTTTTAAAATAATTTTGTGATAATACTCACTATTAATGTGAATGGTTTTCCGTTCCTCACGATTAATAAAAATCCAGCAAAACTATCGGAATGAAAGTCATCTTGCCGGGTCCATACGCTGCTGGCTCGCTTGCACCACCCTTGCACCACCCTGCTCAGTAGCTTGCACGCTTCCTTTCGGCTGTCTCTGGCAGGGTATTTTGATGCGAACGTAGCATGGGGCATGTTAAAGTGCCGCTCTGCATTCGACCGTTTCATCGATGGTATTTTCTCATTGCAAATCAGACACACCGCAGAATCCGTTCTCTCCACAAAGGCGAACCCTTCGGTCCATTTGTCCCGAAGTCTACCAAACTCGTCATCTTTTTTTCTTTTCGCCATCTTATTCGCTTAGGATTAGCTTTGAGCTAATGGCCGAGCGGGTTGATTCAAAAGGGGGCGTATACCTGTTTCCATAGCAACGGCAACGTTGGCCAGTATCATCCAATCAAAATGGCTCCTGGAGCCAACTGCAGCCCGAACGAGGAAATGAGCAGTGAAAAATCGATCGATGGATGCATTAATAAACAAGCGAGAATATTTTTTTTTATCTGCGAGCCAGATGCAATCATCAAAAGAGCCATATATGGCTCGCGAGCCATAGGTTCCCGACCTCTGGCGTAGACGCTTTTCCTAGCACTTAAGGACACCATGCAATATATTACATGTAAGTGTACCTGCAGTGGTCGGAAGGAAAACTAAACATGTTTGGTTACACTTGTTGTATTAAAGCAAGCTTATAATAGCTTGTGGGACCTTTCCGTCCGAGATGCCGTGGCAGTGAAAGCGCACAGCTATACTTCCTTCTTCTTGGTTCCTGGGACCGGTGGCGACGTGGCGTTGTTGAAAAACTTCTCCAAGAAAAAAAAATCATGCTTATTTGACCTAAATACAAATACAAAATAACCAATCAAACACATTCACAATGCCACTGAATGGGAGCTGAACCTCCACTTCCTCCGTGGAGGTCAGGTAAGTAAACCATTCCACTGGCAGTGAAATGCAATATAATCAGTAGATATTGTAATTTACAGTGTGCATATCCCAGTTGTCTTTTCCGAAAGCAGAAAAACAGAATACACACTCTAAAAAAAGAAAAAAACTACACTTGTGAAAAGCTTTGCAAGTGTCACACGGATCTATTGTGCACTACCCCACGTGCCCCCAAAAACAATTTTCTAAAGGCCATAATCATGATTATAAACTTTTGTTGAAATGTGACGTTGAAGGCTGCCTGTTTCAGCTGCATATATGCTCATGATAAATGATGACATCTAGTAGACCTCCAATGCAAGTAGAAACCTGCATATGACTAAGCATTAACGTATGTTTCATAAAATAACCGGTAATAAGTATTGTAATGGGGCAAAATGTCAAACTTCAAATTTATTGTAATGGGGCATAATGCAGACAACTTCCTTTTTGGAAGGAAAGTCTGCATTCAAACTTTGCTGCAGGAATGTGTGATGTAAGATGACAAAACTGTGTTACTTACAAATATTGCATGCAGCAAAAAAATAGGCTTAAATAACAAAAACAGATATCCATAAATTCAGATTTGGCTGAAACTGAATTTGAAGTGGAAGGTAACAAAGTATTTTTACTCTGATTAGTCTCTTGCATGGACATGCATAGCCCTGGCATAAGCTTCAATTTCCTGCAGCTCTCAGTCACTGCAGTGGGACATTAAATATTCAACAGATATTCACCACGAGGCATAATATAATGAATTTAACACTAATATGCTAAGTAAAGGTGTAACGGCTCTTCTGTGGCCAGTGTCTTTACACATGCCGGAAAAAAAGATGTGAGCCATTAGGTTCACACCGCATCCCGTGACATGAATTATGCTACTTTTATCTTTCCATTAGCCAGCAAATGTATGTTTACTGTATGCTGTCGCGATAACACAATTGACAAACACTGCTGCTTCATCAAATCTTCTTTGTGTGTGTGTCGGAGAAGTGCACCTAAGTGCACAGCTTTGGATGACTGTCACAGACACATTTCACCAATTGAACTCACGTTTCACTCAAGATATAGTGTTTTCATTTCTGCTAATAATACTACAAGCTGAGAAGTCATTGATCTTCTAGTGAGGCGCTGTTTTTAGAGCAGCGCATGCATCAGCAAGTGTTGGATAATACACAATATTTCCAACGACAATTACTCAAAATCCCTTTGACGGGAATAGAACCGTTGTGCAACCTTATAGTTATGAAACACTTTCAAATTTGAGAAAGAATCAAAGAAATCACAAAGGCCAAATGCACGTTGAGTTTTTGTGTGATTCAATTTCATGACCGACATGTGTAAAAAATATAAACCAGGGGAAACAAATGCTATTGGGATATAACTGAATAAAAGCAGAAGAAAAATAAGCTATTCTGTCTTGTTACTATATATTTATATGTACAAATAAAGTGATACCCCGGATGAAGCAGACATAGAAACGTACTCCGTATCAAATTTAGTACACGGCAGTCCTTCCACTACAAGCAAACAGAATGTCTAAAATCAGATCCCAGACTGATTAGCTTGTATATCAAGCAAGAATGAGAGCGTATTCCACCTACGAAGTTTCCACAATGAGTGTCCTCAGTTCCCAAACATTGATTGAATGTCGTTAAAGAAAAAGGTGATGTAACCCAGTGGTAAACACGACCCTGTCCCAGCGCACGCCACAGGTGTCACCGAATTCTCGCAGTTTGCAATTTCAGAGAAAGTCAACTTAGAACTCGGGGCTAGCACAGCAGTGTGTGAAACCTGCTTTCATGAATGGCCCCAGGGTGGCAGGGTGCCATCAAATCTGTGTGTGTTGCTCAAGCAGCCTTACGGCTATGACCGCCATATGCCAATTTATTCATTGACCTTTGGGGCAGTTATGATAGAGTTTTGACAATGCAAAAAAACCTCTTCTGACACCTTACAGCATATATAGGGTGGACGACTGGTTAGCGCATCGGCCTCACAGTGCAGAGGTGCTTGCGATTCCAGCTTGGGCCTTCATGTGTGGAGTTTACATGTTCTCCCCGTGTCTGCAGGTACTCCGGTTTCCTCCCACATTCCAAAAACATGCATGGCAGGTGAATGGAACACTCAAAATTTTCCCTAGGTGTGATTGTGAGCACGGATGGTTGTTTGGCAATGTGTGCCCTGCGATTGGCGTTCAGGCTGTTCCCCGCCTACTGCCCGAAGACAGCTGGGATCGGCTCCAGCGTTCCCACGACTCTTGTGAGGATAAGCACATCAGAAAATGGATGAATGAATGAATATAT